GGACCGGTGGCGGCGGTCGAAATCCCGGACGCGTCTTGAGCTCCATCGTCGCTGAATAGGGCAGCGGTTCTCAACCTTGGGGTCGCGAAAAAATTTCGAGGGGTCGCGGCGAGGTAACTGGGGTCGCTTGGGGTGGCGGCGGTTACCCAGCTGGCCCACACGCCGAGCACTGGCGGAAACAACTTTTAAGTTGATCAAAACGGTCACAAATGTCTTTGAAAAATCGTGTTTTGGGCCGACTTTAGGCATCCACTGCGTCTGATCCGAGGCGGTATTTCGTCCTCCCTCAACGGGCAATTGGTCTTTAGACCTTTCTTTAGCATGTCTTTGTTACGGAGTGCGATTATCTGCCTTAATTTGGGAGCAGTATTGCCGCAAAGTTGATCAAAACGGTCACAATTGTCTGTGAAAAATCGTGTATTGATCAACTTTGCGGCAATACTGCTCCCAAACTAAGGCAGATAATCGCACTCCGTAACAAACGCATGCCAAAGGAAGGTCTAAAGACCAATTGCCCGTTGAGGGAGGACCAAATACCGCCTCGGATTAGACGCAGTGGCTGCTTAAAGTCGGCCCAAAACACGATTTGTTCAAAGACATTTGTGACCGTTTTGATCATTTTTGCTGCAATACTGCTTCCAAACGAGGGGATAATCGCATTTCAACTGTAAGGAAAATTGGGTCCATTTTCCTGGAAGTAAATTATGGCTAAAATTGGTACTTTTCGCCTGATTTGGACGTGGATGGCCGAACCGCGTGACATAACCTTAAACGTTGCAAACGAATTTGTAGCAAGTAAGGTGTGACCACTCTTTTCTTGACCCAGAACGCTGAGTCATTCACCCCTCGTTCCAAACTAAGGTGGATTATCGCACTCTGTATCAAAGGCATGCTAAAGGAGGGGTCGCGTGGGGTCGCGAAATTTTTCCTGGGGGTCGCGGAAATTTTTCGCTACAAATTTGGGGTCGCGAACCGAAAAAGGTTGAGAAACGCTGGAATAGGGCTCGAACCGAACGTGTGACCCTACACACTAAATGTCATGGGACTTTTTTTGTCCCACGAATGATGCAATTTTAAGCACATCCAGTGGTGATGCAATTTTGTGTCCGCCAGGCGGGACAAATTGTCTTGTGAAAGTACAAGTTGCAGCTGGCGCCGGACAAAATGTGTCACCAGACGGGAACAAAATTGTATCAGCGTCGGATGTGCTTAAAATTGCATAAATCGTGGGACAAAAAAAGTCCGATGACATTTAGTGTGTACCAATAGATTGCTCTCCAAACGAGCAATCCATTGGTGGGGTCACTCGTTTGATTCGAGTCTTAATTAGAGACTCTGGCGCTCAAAACACGTCCGGGATTTTGACCGCCTCCACCGGTCTTCTGGCTCACTGTGTACTGTTCTGCCGCTCTGCATACGCGGACGAGTCCGCGCTTCACCGAACCGCCCCGACACCGCCACCTCATCAGGGATTCAGCCCTCCGCTTGCAAGATCAGAACCTTTTTTTCCCCTCCTCGCTTTAAAGAGGGAAAAAGATAAGCGAGGAGGGAAAGGGAAGAAAAACGAAACAATGCATGGGCCCCGCCGCCTCCGCCGTGGCCCCGCCGTGGCCCCGCCGTGGCTTCGTGAGGAATCGCCCGACCTCCTTAAAGACTCGCAACACAGGGCCGTGCATAATACAACCAAGTTGGTGCGGATTATGCAGCGCGGAACACTTCTTTGAGGGGCCGGGGATGTGGCGGTCGGAACCAACACAAAATCTCATCCCTGAAAGATAGATCCCCGTGGCGGTAAAGTTGGCCTCCGTGAAGCCGGGCGGCCTAGCCTCGGCCGGGGCGAGGGGCCGCGACCGCGTCCGCCGATACTACAGTGAGAGTCCGTCTCTCTCGCACTCGCGGAGCGTCCCGGTGAGGTGCGAGAGGGACAGAGCGACGACCCCCGAAATCAGTCTGCTGTGTAGAGTTTCAAGGCCGCCAGCCGTCGCTCCAGTCTCGACGCGCTCGCCTTTCCCAAAGTCGCAGCGTCCAATCACAATTTTTCTGTCAGTCCCGCGACGCGTAGCCATGGCGTAGCCTAGCGTAGGCCGATGGACGCCATTTTTCGACGCTAATGCTGTCATTTCGCGTCCGCGAAAATAAAAGCGCTACACTGTTAGCCAACGGGCAGCCTGCACTGGGTGCCAGGAGACCGGCGGTGGCGGTCAAAATCCCGGTTGCGTTTTGAGCTCTAGAGGCGCTAACTAGGACTGGAATCGAACGTGTGACCCCATCAATGGATTCCTCGCCCGGAAAGCAATCCATTGGTGGGGTCACACGTTCGGTTCGAGTCCCATTTAGCGACTCTGGAGCTCAAAACGCGTCTGGAGTTTTGGCCGCCTACACCGGTCCTCTGGCCCACTGTGTGCAGGGACAAGAATGTCCTTCACGTCGAGCGGAAAAATATCTATCGCGCGTTGGAAGATCCGACGCAAAGCCCGGAGTGGCGACCAGTCGGGAGGGAGGCCCGAAACACTGAAACACTATCCGGGCGCCTCAACGGCCCTCCAGTCGCCACTTGTCAAACCGTCCGGCGCCATAAAGCTTTCCCCAACCAAGACAAAAGGGCGAAACTCCCGCCGAAATGAGGACGGACGGAGGGGCGCTGCACCTGGAGTCGCTCTGCCTCTCTCGCACGCCTAGGCGCTGTGGGCGCGGGAGAGACAGAGAGTGCACCTGGAAGAGACCCACCTCTTGACCGATGAGTTCGCTGCGTTGGCCGCCACTGGGCCCTTGCAGTCCTGCGAAGCCCTCTGGGTGGACGGCCGGCGTCCAGGATGGCCCAGGATGGCTCAGGATGGACCGGGACGGCCGGCCGTAGTGATACAGTGTCAGCCGGCCAAGCTCGGCGGGGCTCGGCGGGGCTCGGCCGCCCGGCAGGCCGATTCCGAGAGTCGTTTCGGACGCACTGTCTCTCTCGCACCTTTACGGGACGCCCCGCGAGTGCGAGAGAGACAGCCTCTCGGAATGAGTCTGCAGGAAACGCAAGGCCGGGCCCAGCTTGGCCTGATGCGACTGTCTCTGGCGCGGCGGCTGGAGAGGGCAAAGCACTGACGGCCGCACGCAGAACGGCCAGGCGGGGAGGGGGAGGGGGGACGAAGTGACGGCGGCGGCGGAAGGTTACCAAGACCGGTGGAGGCGGTCAAAATCCTGGAAGGGTTTCTGCAGTGTCGCTGGGACTCGAACCGAACGTGTGACCCCACCAATGGATTGCTCTCCGAACGAGGAATCCATTGGGTCACACGTTCGGTTCGAGTCCCATATAGCGACCCTGGGGTTCAAAACGCGTCTGGACTTTCGGCCGCCTGCGCCGGCCTTCTGGCCCACTGTGGGTCGGTGTCCGAGGGTCCGAGGGTCCGAGCGTCCGAGCGCCGCCGGGTAGGCCACCCAGCGAGCGTCCCCGCCGCGCGGCTGCCATGGGGCAGCTGGCAGGCGCTCCGCCAGTGATCTACCAGTGCCGCTGCGTGCAGCAGAAGTACGTGAGCGAGACCCGGGCTAAGGAGTAAAAGAAAAAAAGTTCCGCAATTAAAAAGTTTGATTAGGCGAAACGGGATCTGGCTGGTCCACCTGGCTGCCTGCTCGGCCGGGCGTCTCCCATCTGCTGCAGCAACCTGGAGCAACCTGAGGCAACCTGGAGAAACCTGGAGGAACCTTCTGGGGGAACCTGGAGGAACTTAGAGAAACCTGAAGCAGGCCAACTTTGGCCGGGTTGCGTTGGCCCGCCAGTCATTAAACGAAATTCGCCTTTCATTTCATTGCTTTCATTGCCGCCAAGTGAGCGCGGCCTTCGACTTTCTTCGGTTCGATTTCTCCGCAACTGGAACTCGCCCGTTGCCCGCAGGCTGCCCCACGCGCTGCGTCTCTCTCGCACTCTTGGAGCGCCCCGTGGAGGTGTGACAGGGAGAGACGCAGCGACGGGAGACACAGCGCTGACTCGCTCAAGGTGGCCAGCAGGCCTTCTCCAACAGCGAGACGCTCTCGGCCCACTCGGATCCTATTCCCGTCTCTCTCTCTCTCTCTCTCTCTCTCTCTCTCTCTCTCTCTCTCTCTCTCTCTCTCTCTCTCTCCCCCCTCCCTCTCCCCTTTAAAGTGGCGCCCCTCGTCGCCTCGCCACATCCTTACAACCTGGACGATCTGAATGGATTTTGGATTGCGAGTCGACCGTCCCGTTCCGTTTCGCCCAGCCCGCAGCCGGCGCCCTGCCGCCCTGTCCCCACTCGGAGCCCTGGCCGCGGCCCTGGCCCACCCGGCAGTCCACACTCACCATTAAAATGCATAGAATTCGATGCTGAAAAGGCGGCTGCGCCCCCGGCTATCCGCTGGCTTGACCCCTCCGGCCCCGGTCTCTCCGTTTTCCCTTTATTTGACCCTTTTTTTCCTGAATATTTCCCCCACGTGCCTGTGAGACTTTTTTTTCCACTTCCGGGACGCAACAGCTTGCAGACGCGACAACTCTATTACTTTGAAGTGAGCCTTCTTTTGAAATTGCCGCCGTGTGGGCTGACGTGACGAGAGAGGGTAAACTTGCCTGGACCAAAGACACGGCGCACAGTGGGCCAGAAGACCGGGGTGGAAGGCGGCTACAACTCCAGGCGCGTTTTGACCTCCAGAGGCACTGAATGGGACTCGAACCGAACGTGTGACCCCACCAATGGATACCTCGTGCGGAGGGCAACCTATTGGTGGGGTCACACGTTCGGTTCTAGTCCCATTTAGTGACTCTGGAGGTCAAAACGCGCCTGGAATTGAAGCCGCCGCGCCGCCACCGGTCTTCTGGCCCACTGTGCGACGCGCTGCCGTGCGAACAGCGCCGCTCTGTCTCGGTCTCTCCCTCGCGGATCGAGCCTCGAGTGCGAGAGAGACAGAGCGAACGAGGGCACCGTTCGGCATCGGGCCGCAGGCAGTCCTTGGCGGTCCGCAGATTTGGAAGCGGCTCGTCAAAGGCAGCCAGAAGCCCTGTCGCCCCGTCAAAGCCGCGCGGTCGGCCTCCAGGCCCTCCAGGCCCTTACCTCCACGGTGAGTCGCGGTGGTGAGACACTGTGGCGAGGCTCGGTGGAAGGCCACCACGCTCCAGGACACAATACCCTCCTAATGTCAATAATTAACCGCACCCGCGGGCTGGTTCAGCCGCTCTGTCTCTCTCGCACTCTTAGGGCGGTCCCTAGCAGCAGTGCGAGAGAGACAGAGCGACGAAGACACTGTTCGGAATGTACCCGCAGGGCGTGGCAGGGGCGTGTCCCAGACGCACCTCCAACGACACGGGGTAATCATCCCGCAGGCGGCCTTGGCGGTGCAACGCCCCCCCCCCCCTTTCTCTCTCTCCGCCCCATTCCCGCCCTTCGCGAATAATGGAAGAGTCCGCAACACTTCCATCGCACTGGCCGGCGCTACTGCCCTGGGGCACCCAACGCGTCAACCCCTCCCCCTTAACGGCGACTTTGTCCTCTGCCCCCCTCTCTCTGCTTAAGGCAAAATAAAACAAAAACAAGAGACGATTTCAACAAAAATCCGGCAGCTGCAATGCACGTGCCGTCCGCCTATTTGTCTGTGCGTCCGCGCGTCCGCCTGTCGATGTAAGTGGCACATCTGCTTTCTCTCTCACACTAATTAAATTGCACGCGCCAAAACTTTTGAAGGGGGATACTGCTCGCGTGCCAGCTGTTTCTTCTCCTTCTTCTTCTTCTTCTTCTTCTTCTTCTTCTTCTTCTTCTTCTTCTTCTTCTTCTTCTTCTTCTTCTTCTTCTTCTTCTTCTTCTTCTTCTTCTTCCGTCCGTTTTCGATCACGTCATCCCGACAGGTGGGCGCGCTTCGTCACCAGTGTCGTGGCGCACGACGTGGAGAGGGTCACGGCGGAAAACACGAACCAGCATAGATAACCGAATGCGAGAAACACAGAATGAAACCGCAAATAGCAAAAACGCCAACAACTTTGCCCAACCCCGAAAGAGGCTCTTGAGGTGTGCTTACACTGAAGGGATAAGTTGGGGAAAAAATTTCAGGGTGCGACAAGTTACACCCTTATGCAGCTAATATCGTGACTGCATCCCTCGAACGATTAATTCAACTTCTTTTCGAGTTTGTTGTTTTTCGCGGCTTGTTTTTGGAAAGCCTCAAACTCGACGTCACGAAAATGGCAATCAGGACGCTAACGTGACAGCGTGACAGGCGCGGGTCCGGGTCGCATTAACTGTGGAGCCAGGCACAGCACGGGCAGAGCGCGCAGTGGGCCAGAAGACCGGTGGAAGCGGCCGAAACTCCAGACGCGTTTTGGGCTCTAGAGTCGCTAAATGGGACTCGAACCGAACGTGTGACCCCAGCAATGGATTCCTCGTTCGGAGAGCAATCCATTGGTGGAGTCACACGTTCGGTTCGAGTCCCATTAGCGACTCTGGAGCTCAAAACGCGTCTAGAGTTTTGGCCGCCTCCAGGTCTTCTGGCCCACTGTGCACAGCACGGGCACAGCCTGGCCAGAGCCTGCAAGGTGTCGCGCTAATTGGCAAGCCTGCAGACTGAGAGTCCTTTTCGTCGCTGTGTCTCTCGCGCACCAACACGGGGCGCCCCATGAGTGCGAGAGAGACAGGACGGTGACGAAAACGAGTCTCGGAATCACAGTCTGCTGGCCTGGCCGACGACAACGAACGCAAATATTCCCGTGCAGCTGACTTTGTAACTATACCTTGTAGCTTATCGATTTTGTCGGATTTCTCTTGTTCAGAGGGGAGAAAATCTCCACCGTGATAACTTGGGAAGACTCATTAGAACATATACTAATAACATGGACATTTTTTCTGGCAGGGTGTTTGGTCGGAGTCATCTTCCCTGACGTGGGGCTCTTTGGCTTTTTACGAGCTAGCCGTGTCGCGCAGTCATTATAAGGCGCGCGCAGGCGGCCCCGCGTCAGACCAATCCAAGATGGCGGCCCGCAACGTCCTGTTCGCCCTGGCGGTGAGTCAATCCGCCAACCCTTGGCGCTTCTAGAGCACTCGTTTCACAGTGCGTCAGAAGACCGGTGTAGGAGGCGAACTGTACCCGTCGGCGCAGAGTACCCCCGGGTGCACAACGCCTAGGGCCATAGAACCCTGGGGTACATGACGACTAGGTTCAATGTACCCAGGGGTACAATGCGCCTAGGTGCCAGGCGAATTGTACCCCGGGTACAATGCGGCTAGGCGAAATGTACCCCGGGGTACATTTTGCCTAGGCTTATTGTATCCCCCGCCGGCCGGAGGAGGATGCACGTCGCCTAGGCGCAATGCACCCCCCCGGATACAAAGAGCCTAGGCGAGGAGTATCCCCTCGGCCGGCCGGAGGGGGATACAAAAAGCCTAGGCGCAATGCATCCCACCCCGGATACAAAAATCGAGAAAAAAAAGAAGAAAAAAGGGGGGCCCTTCTCCCACCTCCGCACACAGGTCGGAGGGCCGCCTGCAACTTCGGTGGATCGGGGGAACCGGTGCTTTACAGGCGGCGACCCCAGGGGTTCTCGTCTGTATATGGGCCGGGCTTGAAGGGCGGGTTTGACAGTCTCTCTCTGCCTTGAGAGCCTTTGCTTTTCGCGGGGTGGTCTGTACCAATGTACACCCGCTGTCCGGCGCTCTCTACCAAACATACAGCTTGTTTAAGGGCCAGCTTCAAAGGACTTATCATCTCCTCCCGACGAATCAGGAGGACCCACCCGCGACCAATTACGGGTGGCTGGATTGACGGATCAAATACTCCGTCGCTCCAGTGCCGAGGCCAACCCGCCGAAGCGCAGTTGCTTTTTAGACACCCCAGCGGAGTGGCCAGGTGAATGTGACTCTGACCAGAGCCTGCGATCGGGTGGGTAAGCTGCCGCGTTCTCACCCGCCGTCCCCGGCCGGGTGAGCGCTCTTACCCGGTGCCAGCACAGGTTCAGTCGGCGCTGGCCGGCCGGACCTAGCCTGACACACACACACACTCACACGTAGCGGCCAGCGGCGGCGACCAGCGCCCGATCGACGAGCCACAGCGCCGACGGCGAGGCAAAACCAGCCACAGCCGCGCCAAGCGACTGACGGGTGTCTGGCGAGTGGCATCTCGCTCTCTCACTCCCATAAGCAGCCAACGAGTGCGAGAGAGACAGCTGTGTCGACTGGCGCTCGCTGACTGCCGCCTGCCTCGCCAGCGACGGCAGCGGGCCGCGCTGGGCTCGGGTCGAGCCGTCGTCGGCACGCTGGGTCTGTGCACCCGTGGTGGGTAGCGCGTTACCCGGTCACCTCAACAGCGGGTGGGTCTGGGTCTGGGTATGGGCCGGCTGTGGCCGGGTAAGCAAGTCGAAGAGTGCCAGGCCGGCCGGGTAGCGCTCGGCCGCCTTACCCACCCGATCGCAGGCTCTGACTCTGACCACTACGCTATCAAGCTTGTACGTCTGGCGTCGTGTTGGACGACGGGTTTGAGTTGCAGTGGAAGGAAGCCAGTCGAAAAATGTAATGAAATGATGGGAGTCGATCCCAGGACTCTACTGCCGGGCCGCACGACTTTTGCCGCTCGCCCACCACGGCCCATGACGAATGGAGCGGCGTGAGGCGGGCTCTTGACGCGACAGGAATGGACCGACCCGGTCAAAATTTCACAAGAAGTTTGGGGAGTCGAACCGCCGACCTCAGCACGGAGAAGCGACGCCTCTACTCCCTAGACCACCACAGCACATGCAGTTTGTTGGCTGCAGTCACGGTTTTCAACCACACTGGGCGAGGCAGTAAAAATAAATGTTAAAGTTCCTATAGGAATCGAACCCCCGACGTGTGGGACTGTTCTACACGGCTCCGCTCTGATGGCCTCAAACCGTTCCACAAAAGAAAGGAAATCGAAAAAAAATTTTGAGATGCCGGTATTCGAACACCGCAAATGTTACAGACGTTCGATCGCATTTGCACAGTGCGGTGTTCGAATACCGGCATCTCAATTTTTTTTTTCGATTTCCTTTCTTTTGTGGAACGGTTTGAGGCCATCAGAGCGGAGCCGTGTAGAACAGTCCCACACGTCGGGGGTTCGATTCCTATAGGGACTTTAACATTTATTTTACTGCCTCGCCCAGTGTGGTTGAAAACCGTGACTGCAGCCAACAAACTGCATGTGCTGTGGTGGTCTAGGGAGTAGAGGCGTCGCTTCTCCGTGCTGAGGTCGGCGGTTCGACTCCCCAAACTTCTTGTGAAATTTTGACCGGGTCGGTCCATTCCTGTCGCGTCAAGAGCCCGCCTCACGCCGCTCTATTCGTCATGGGCCGTGGTGGGCGAGCGGCAAAAGTCGTGCGGCCCGGCAGTAGAGTCCTGGGATCGACTCCCATCATTTCATTACATTTTTCGACTGGCTTCCTTCCACTGCAACTCAAACCCGTCGTCCAACACGACGCCAGACGTACAAGCTTGATAGCGTAGTGGTCAGAGTCACATTCACCTGGCCACTCCGCTGGGGTGTCTAAAAAGCAACTGCGCTTCGGCGGGTTGGCCTCGGCACTGGAGCGACGGAGTATTTGATCCGTCAATCCAGCCACCCGTAATTGGTCGCGGGTGGGTCCTCCTGATTCGTCGGGAGGAGATGATAAGTCCTTTGAAGCTGGCCCTTAAACAAGCTGTATGTTTGGTAGAGAGCGCCGGACAGCGGGTGTACATTGGTACAGACCACCCCGCGAAAAGCAAAGGCTCTCAAGGCAGAGAGAGACTGTCAAACCCGCCCTTCAAGCCCGGCCCATATACAGACGAGAACCCTGGGGTCGCCGCCTGTAAAGCACCGGTTCCCCCGATCCACCGAAGTTGCAGGCGGCCCTCCGACCTGTGTGCGGAGGTGGGAGACGGGCCCCCCTTTTTTTTTCTTTTTTTTCTCGATTTTTGTATCCGGGGGGGGGGGGATGCATTGCGCCTAGGCTTTTTGTATCCCCCTCCGGCCGGCCGAGGGGATACTCCTCGCCTAGGCTCTTTGTATCCGGGGGGGTGCATTGCGCCTAGGCGACGTGCATCCTCCTCCGGCCGGCGGGGGATACAATAAGCCTAGGCAAAATGTACCCCGGGGTACATTTCGCCTAGCCGCATTGTACCCGGGGTACAATTCGCCTGGCACCTAGGCGCATTGTACCCCTGGGTACATTGAACCTAGTCGTCATGTACCCCAGGGTACTTTGGCCCTAGGCGTTGTGTACCCGGGGGTACTCTGGGTCGGGGGGGTACACTTACACGCCGACACCGGCGCAGGCGGCCAACACTCTGGAAGCATTTGAGCAGCAGAGTCACTAAACGGGACCCGAACCGAACGTGTGACCCGTGGATTCCTCGTTCGAAGAGCAATCCGTTGGTGGGGTCACACTTCGGTTCGAGTCACATGAAGCTCAAAACGCTTCTAGAATTTTGGCCGCTTCCACCGGTTTTCTGGCCCACTGTGCTCCTGTGTGTTTACTAGCGGCTCCTCGGGAAAACCAGCGGTCGTTTTTGCCGTGCGGAATGTAACCGATTCCAGTGGGGGTTTTAAAAGAAACAATGTGGTTCCGAAACGCAAGCGTCTAAATTGACCCACTATAGTGAATCGGGGATTTTTTTCACTTTTTTCGCACTTTATTGAATAGGATTCCTCTCTGGGCGCAAACGAAGTGGTTCCAATGCACGCGTTTGGGCCCACAGCCCTCGGGGGGTCGCGCCCCACCCCGCCCCACCCCACCCCGCCCCACCCCACCCCGCCCCGCCCCGCAAACGACGCACCAGTTGCAGCGCCCGCACCGATTTGGCGGCGATTGGGCCGGGCCGGCCTGGGCCCGTCTCTGCGGGGGCCGCTTCCGGTGCGGGTCACGGACAGCACGGACAGTCACGGACAGTCACGGAGTCACGGACAGTCACGGAGTCACGGATCCAAACTAGGAAATAATAGGGTGGGGCCGCCCGCCGAGCGCCACGCTAATCCTCGCAGTTTGCTTCATTGTGCTGCTGCACTGTTTGTCTGGCCGGCCAGTGGCCGAGCTGCCGGCCATCGAGTCTGCTGCCGCCGTTTGGCCGCCGAGGTAGACAGAGACAGCGCATCCAGTCCGCGGTCAGTTTGGCCGGCGCGCACCTTGCCCCAGCTTTCGCGCCACGCGCCGCCACGCCCCCGAAACCAATCAAAACTTCCGTCATCACAAGTTGCGCTCGCGGGACGAGCCGAAAACGGCGATAGTCGGCGGTAGTGATAGCAATCTGAATCTGTTGCAGCGCGAGCCGCCAATGAGCTCGCGTCTCGGTGCTGTCCCGAGCCACTAATCCGCGGTTTGGCGGCAAAAGCAGCGCCTGGGATTCCGAGGCGGTCCGCGAAAAATACGCCAGTGGTAGCCTTTATCGATCTCAATCCTATGTTTGCGAATCCGAATGTGAATCAGGTCGTGCTCCTGCTCGGCGCCGTCCTCGCCGACCACAACAAGAGGCCCAAGTCCAAGCCCCTCAAGAAGGGCGAGTTGTCCCTCGACGTGATGCCGTACGGGGCTCGACGCTTCGCCGGCCTCCACGGCGCGGCCGATGTCCAGCTTCACCACCACCTCACCAAGAGGTAAGGCACTACAGTGTGGGAATGGCCACTCCTTGGGTTGCCTCACTAGGCGGGGGCCTTGGGAAGGGGGGGGAGTATGTCACCACGTACCACCTGGTACCACCTGGTCCTTCTGAACCCCTACCTTGGACCCCGAACCTTCAACTCTGAACCTCCAACCCAGAGCCTCCAACCCTGAACCTCCAACCCTGAACCTCCTACCCTGAACCTCCTACCCTGAACGTCCTACCCTGAATCTCCAACTCAGAACGCCCAACCCTGAACCTCCAACCCTCAACCTCCAACCCTGTTCCTCCAACCCGTTCCTCCAACCCTGAACCTCAGACACTGAACCTCCAACCCTCAACTTCGAACCCTGAATCTCCAACCCTGAACCTCCAAACCTGAACCTTCAACCCTGTCTTGCCGCAGGTTCTTCGGCGTGCACATCCACAAGAGGCCCAAAGTGTACCTGGTGAACCAGGTGCCCCAGCAGGTGGTCTACATCAGGAAGCACCACCGCCACCACGCCTTCCAGACCGTGGTGCAGCCCAGCCTGTCCGTGCACCTGGGCCACCGCCACCACCGCCACCGCCACCACCACGCCCGCTTCAACGTGCACCTCGGGCTCGGACACTGAGCCAACCAACCTCAAGGAACACCCCCCACTCAGTTTGGAACAACCCACCACCTCCTCCACAGCGTGCACATTACTTTGTCTTCAGTTTGTAAACAATAACACGGTTTTGAATTTGTGAAAAAAAATCCGGAAGTGTCCGTCTGCCTGCTCTCCATTAGGATCGTCGTTTCTGAAAAATGAATCATTTGGCCGTGTGCGGGTCGGGCGGTCGGTCGGCCGGTCGCTCTGGCTTTGTCCGGATTTCCCTCCATCGAGATGAAAGAAGGGCTTACAATATTTACCTGGCATATTGAGCGGGCCCGGGGCTGCGGATTTATTTAGGAAAAGCACTCTGTCTGTCTGTCTGCTAGTCCATCCGTCCGTCCGTCCGTCCGACTATCTGTCTGTCTGTCTGCCTGTCTGTTGCGTCTTTGTCGCCGAGGAGGAGGCGGAAGACAACTGTAAACGGAATGCAACATCACAGACCTGACCTACAGTGTAGCACACTGCCATTCCCATCGGTGCCGGCTTACCCCTGTAAACCCCCGTGTAAGCTGCGGCATGTGCGATTGTGTCTTAGCCGCTGACAGACAGACAGGCAGGCAGACAAACAGACAAGCAGACTGACTGACAGACAGACAGACAGACAGACAGACAGACAGACAGACAGACAGACAGACAGACAGACAGACGGTGGGCGTGCCGCCGGAAACAATAACGGAACATTTACTTGCGCAACCCTCTCGAGGGAATGTATGAACAACACTATACCGCCTAATAAAATGGCGCAGGAAACCGTTGTTATTGCAAAGAGAAGCGCACGGCTCTCTCTCGCACACGCTCGCAATAAAAAGCGGAACAAAATTCGTTCTGGGTGAGATCTTGGAGTGTATTGCGTCCCCGGAGAGGTCGAAGTTAGGCGTCGACCGCCAAGTACGTGGCGCGGCGGTACTGCCACCGTAACCGAATTTCGGCGCCCAGACAGACAGGCACTAACGTATGCAACGACCAGGCACAGAGAGCCACTTAGCTATGCCGAACCTAGACATTCGGACGGACAGACAATCAGACGGCGGACGCCCGGACGGCGGGCAGATAGTTCCACTTGGCTTGAACGGGGGGGTCCTTGTCGTCGTCGAGATGATGCAGCACCGGCTTCGGACGCCACCTCGCCGGCGGCGGTACACACACACACACACACACACACACACACACACACACACACACACACACACACACACACACAAGCACACACACACAAGCACACACCACTCACATGCTCACACACAGACCACACACACACACACATACACACACACAAACACACACACACACACACAGCCTATCGATTGCGCCAAGATCTCGTCCTCGGGGGAAATTAGCCCAAGCTGCTGCCTCTGACACTGCGGTTATTGTACAGGTTTCAGGGGTTGGCGTGATCCCGGGCGCGTTCCGCCTGCTTGCCCGGACAGGGGTGGTGGCCAGCCGTCGCTCTGTCTCTCTCGCACTCGGAGGGAGTTCCGGAGAGAAGAGAGAGGGAGAGAGAGAGAGAGAGAGAGAGAGAGAGAGAGGAGAGAGAGAGAGAGAGAGAGAGAGAGAGAGAGAGAGAGAGAGAGAGAGGGAGAGAGAGAGAGAGAGAGAGACTCCCCGGGGTGGCGCGCCATGGCGGCGCCGAGACGGGCGTCCGGTTTCAATTTGGATAAACTGCGGCCGAGTGCCGGGATTCATCGCTCTGGACCCGCGAAGTGCACTGCGAGTGAGTGAGGCGGAGTGTGGCGGAAACCGTGTGATTGGCACTCTTCACCGTTTTCAGCTTCCCAGACGTGTCAAGTTGATTTCACCCCCTTTTCGACAGCTGCCGATCCTATCTGTCTGTCTGTCTGCGCGTCCGCCTCATCCGCCTGCTGTCCGTCTGACGGTCTGTCTGTCTGTCTGTCTGTCTGTCTGTCTGTCTGTCTGTCTGTCTGTCTGTCTGCCTGTCAGCCCGCCCGCTCGATCCCGTTCAGACCGCCCTTATCGAATGATGCGTGCGCCGACGTGATGCATGTTGACACGGGCGTGCTGATAGACTTTCTCGCTTCCACGCAATGCCCTCCCCAACATGCAGCTCTCTCTCTCCTGCCCCTAACACCCGCCCCTCCCGGCCCTTGAGCCGTGCACCCAGCCGCTCCACCCCACAGTGGGCCCGAAGACCAGTGCAGGCGGCAAATATCATAGACGCGTTTTGAGCTCCTGAGTCGCTAAGTGGGACTCGAACCGAGCGTGTGACCCCACCAATGGATTCCTCGTTCGGAGAGCAATCCATTGGTGGGGTCAAACGTCTGGTTCGAGTCCCATTTAGTGACTGTGGAGCTCAAAACGCGTCTAGAATATAAGCCGCCTCCCTCCGGTCTTCTGGCCCACTGTGCACCCCGTTCACTACATTTCTACGCCCCTCCCAACCCCTCCCCTTCTCACTCGCACTGGGCCCCGCCTCCAGTCGGACAATAACAGTAATAATCATTCTGAATTGTTACCGGCCGAGCAACGTGCACACCGCGCCGTTTTGACCCCCGCGTGACCCGGGTTGAGGCGACGGTGGAAATTCGCCCAGGTCGGAGATATGAAGTGGTGGAGGCAACGGTTTGGACGCGCCTTGCCTGATATTTCCCCTTCCCGGAGGGCTCTCGCTTGATTGGCCGTAGATCAAGCCATGCAAGCAGGTGACGCACTGGCGGGGCGGGGCGCCTGGGCTGTGTAGCCGTGTTCGGGCATGTATGACGTGGCCTCCTTTTCTCCCTACATCTCTTGTGATAAATTTTTGCCCCACGTTTCAGCGCTACGTACTCCGTATCCAGGCATGTCTCCTTTTCCATCTCTCTCTCTCTCTCTCTCTCTCTCTCTCTCTCTCGCAGTGGTGTGCAGCCAGCGCAGCAAGCGCACACCGTGTAGGCACCTGCTGTGTTTGTCACAAGTCGTGCCTTAGCAACACACGCCTTGCCCTTGTCGCGACGTAAATGAAGCGAACGGAGGGTCCACTCCGAAGACAAGCGGTGTGTGTGTGTGTGTGTGTTTTGTGTGTGTGTGGGGTGTGTTTTTATTATTTATTTTATTTTTTTTATATATTTTTTAAAATTTTGGTGTGTGTGTGTTGTGTGTGTGTGTGTGGGGACAAAGAAGAGGAAAAAGAAGCAAACGGAGCTTGACAGCGACACCCTTGTAAAAGTTGCATCCTATCGATGTGTTGAGGTTGTTGTGTCGGCAGTCGCGGTGTGACTTTCTTTCTTTCCCCCTGTTTTTTTTTCACCCCTCCTCCTCCTTTTTTTACCTTTATTCTTCTATTCCCGCGCAGACAAACGAAATCACGGCAACCAGGCGCGCTGAATTTTTATTCTCATCATTACTTATTTATGCATGCCCCGGTGGTGGTATATTTGTGCTGCGTCCGTGAGCTACGCGACGCAGCAGCGCGCCCCGCACGCACTGTGGAAATTTGCGTGCCCGCCCGGGGTCGGAGAGGGGAGGGAAAGGGGGAGCGGAAGGGGTTGGGGGTTAACGCGTGCAGTCACGTTCTCTCAAGGAAATACGCCCACGACGCACAGGGCCGGTCGCCAAGGCGCGCCAAGGCGGGCAGGGCGGACCGTCGTAGGGAGGATCCACACTCCACACCCGCACAGTGGGCCAGAGGAGGCGGCCAAAACTCTAGACGCGTTTTGAGCTCCAGAGTCGCAAAATGGGACTCGAACCGAACGTGTGGCCCCACCAATAAATCGCTCTCCGATCGAGGTTTCCATTGGTGGGGTCACACGTTCGGTTCGAGTCCTATTTAGCGACTCTGGGACCTCAAAACGCGTCTAAAATTATGGCCGCATCCACCGGTCTTCTGGCCCACTGTGCGCTTTCGTTCCCCCGACCCCGGAGAGTGGAGCCCTGCTCGGTGGAGCCAAGCGAACCAGCGAGCCAAAGCCAAAGGAAGGCAAGGCGGCAGACCACAATCAACCTCCAGGAGGGTGACAACCAGAGAGGCAGAGAGAGAGAGACAGAGACAAAAGAGAGAGAGAGAGAGAGAGAGAGAGAGAGAGAGAGAGAGAGAGAAAGAAGAGAAAAGAAAAAAGGAGAAAAAAAGAGAGAGAAGATCACACGCAGAAATACCTCAGCGCCACTAAAATGTACACATCGGTACACACACACCGGCGTCGCACGGTCCCAAGAGAGAACGCCCCCCACACACGACTGGCTTCTATAAATGAAGTAGTAGTAGTGCTCGGTGCTTCACTCTCGGGCTGGCTGCCTGGCTGCCTTGCTGGCTGGCTGGCTGGCTGTGTAGAGGTGGGCCGGAACGCTCCAGAGGGTCCGACTGGCACGGACTGCCCCGGGCTGCCTCGACTCTCGGCCCGTCGGATTCTGATTGGCTCCGACAAATACCGCATGCATGAACAAGAGCCGCCTGTTGCCAGAGAGAAGAGAGAGAGAGGGGAGGGGGAGAGGGGAAAAGAGAGAGGAGAGAGAGGAGAGGAGAGAGAGAGAGAGGAGGGGGGGGCCCACTACCCATGCAATCGCCAGTGGGGCTCAGCTCCGGCTCGTGTGGCGTGCAGCGCGGCTTTCACGCTGCGCGTTGTATACACCTGCTTATTTTTCCCTTCGCATCCGATTTTTCCACTTTTCCTCTTTTTGGTTTTCTTTCTGTTTTCATCGCGCGGGCCAATTACTACTCGTCGGAGCAGCACAGCGTGGGCGGGCCTGGTGCACCTCTCCACCTTTCTACCAGTGCGGCACCGAGCGAGTGCCTCTGCAGGTAGAGAGATCCCGCTTCACAGTGCGCCGAGCGCTGTACTCGAACCGAACGTGTGACCCCACCAGTGGATTTGCTCTCCGAACGAGGAATCCATTGGTCGGAGCTCAAAACGCGTCTAGAGTGTCGGCCGCCTGTACCGGTCTGCTGGCTGCTGGCCCACTGTGCGCTGCCCCATGCAGTGTGCTTCGATGACCCTGAAAACGGACGTTCTCATTCCGAGGACTCATCCCCTAGTTTTTTCCCTGAAACAGCGCGCAGCTCTCAATCTCTGTAGCGTCGCTGCGTCTCTCTCGCACCCCTACGGGACGCGCCTTGGGAGCGAGAGAGACAGGGGAGCGCCGTTCGAACTAACCCCCCGGCGGCGAAAAGATGAAACGAAAGCGAAGCGTGAAGCTGGTGCGGCGTGGATGCGACTGATCCTTTCAGCGTGGTTTTTGTTCCGAGCCTGGTCGAGAACAAGCAGTCCGCGTGCACATGCGCACATATTCACACGCCCAAGTATTCCACAATATTCTTATTTATCGACGTACTCTTCACTCATATGTTGTGTATGGTTCAGTTTTAAAATATTCACCTATTCTAGCTATTCAGTAATGGTATCCACAAAAGATGCTTACAAAGCAATGTCAAATGCAGCATCCAAGAATTATCTCCGCTGTTGAAGGACTACGATGGCCTCGCATTTGGGATCCTCCCAAAATCCGTAAACGGTTTTTCTTTGCCCAAAACCGGGTTAGTTCGCCTTTTCGGGAGGGGGGCCCCCGGGTCCCCCTTTTCAGTCAGGTGGGGCCGGCCCTGTAGCGGGCCGCCCCCTTGGCAAATGTCGAGGTGGTCTAGCCTCTAATGTAATTATGGTGGGGGCGGCGGGCGGCCCCCCCGTACCAGGGCAGCCGCTTGGGTTGCCTATCTGCCGGCGGCGTCCCAGTGGGCTAGAAGCCCGGTGGAGGCGGCCACAACACTAGACGCGCGTTTTGAGCTCCAGAGTCCCTAAATGGAACTCAAATCGAACGTGTGACCCCAGCAATGGATTGCTCTCCAAACAAGGAATCCGTTGGTGGGGTCACATGCTTGGTTCGAGTCCCGTTTAGCGACTCTGGAGCTCAAAACGCGTCTGGAGTTTCGGCCACCTCACCGGTCTTCTGGCCCACTGCGCGCCCCGCGCGTGAGGCAGTACACGCCACCTGCAGACTCGCTCTGTCTCCCTCGCACTCACGGGGCGTGTCGTTGCAGTGCGAGAGAGACAGACGCTGCATCCCGATAAACAAACCAGACGGCTCACGGCCTCGTCAACAGAGGCGGTCCAGGCGGGGCGAGGCGGGGCGAGGCGGGGTGAGGCCGCGGAGCCAAGTAGGTCAACACGGTTGCCAACTGCTTCCATAATGATTGGACTCGAAGGAACTAACAAAGGCCTTCTTAATTAGGAGGCCTAATTAGCGAAGCAATATTCTTTCTGAAGGGGGGGGGGGGCTCCATGCAGCTGATTGGATTGCGTGTTCGAACCAGATTTCTGTTTTTCCTGGCCGCCGGCGAAAAAGGTGTTCTTCTTCGTCATCCTCGCGCCATTCCCAGCCGAAGCCGGGGCGAACAGTGGGCCAGAAGGCCGGTGGAGGCGGCCGAAACTCCAGACGCGTTTTGAGCTCCAGAGTCGCTGAATGGGACTCGAACCGAGCGTTCGACCCCACCAATGGATTGCTCTCCGAGCGAGGAATCCATTGGTGGGATCTCACGTTCGGTTAAAGTCCTATTTAGCAACTCTGGAGCTTAAAACGCGTCTAGAGTTTCGGCCGCCTCCACCGGTCTTCTGACCCACTGTGGGCTGCAAGGCACTAAAAAGCAGTTTCTTATGGACCTTGAAAATTGACGTGCAATAAAGTAATCAACTTGAAACATTCCAGTAAATTTCACTTGATGCAGGAATATTATCCAGGTTTTAAGTAACGGCCTTTTTTCAGGGTGCAGGCGGCGCAGGTCATTAAATTACGCCATCGATCCTTGTTTATTCCCGACACGTTCGGCCGAATTAGAAAGCCGGGGCCGGCGGGGCGCGAACCCGGAACCCACGACACGACGATTTATGCAGGAATGCGGAGCAATAACGGCTTGACAGTGTAAGACCCGCGTCTTAACCGCAAGGACCGCCGTCCCTGTTTAAAAGTCGGAGCACCCCGCCCCGCCCCGCCCCGCCTCACCTCGCCCCGCCCCACCCCACAGCAGCCAGGTGTACGATCACTGAAAGAAAAGAAAAAACAACAAGAAAAGAAATTTCAACAACGTCTATAGAACCAAACACAAATTTTATTTTAAAAATATCAGTTATGAAACTAAAATGACGTGAGGGAAGGACGTTGCTTTGTTGGCTGCGGGGAACTCGGCGGGGAATGACACTCGTGGAATAAGTACTCTGCTAAATTTAACGACGGAGTCACGCTCCACGCATGCACCTGTGGCTCGAGGGTCTGAACTTTGGTGCGTTTACACTGGAAGGAAGGGTCGTGAGGCTGGACCAAGATGGACCCCGCCCGCCCCGCCCCGCCCCGCGACCACCAGCCCCGGGGTAGGGCAGGCCGGTGACATCCCGCTGAGACGGATATATCCCGCCAACTTGACGGTCCTCGTATAATTTTACGATGGGAGAGCAAGTTTGTTCCTCCGCCTCAGTTGGCTTTACGCTTGCAGAGCTACTCGCGCCCACGTGCCGCACCCCGCACCGCGGACGGACGGACGGACGGACGGACAGACGGACAGACAGACAGGTGGACCGACCTGAGCACAGAGAAAATGGACATGGCACGCCATGGAACTGGCGGCTTCAACTTTACTGCTAACCCCGCACTGTTGGCGCTGCTCGGCTTCAATGTCCGCCGCTTGCCGAGTGCGTGGCGAGTGCGTGGCGAATGCGTGGCGAATCTTTGGCGACAGGGCCAACGCCCCCGCGTGCACCGACGAACGACTTCGGCGCGCGTCTTCATTGAGTGATGCTTTTAATCCCACGGAACGAGCGCTTTGGCTGCGCTTGCCTCCAGTGGCCGGACGGCGCCGGACGGCCATCGAGCAAGAGTTAATCTGTCACCGGGCCGTGTCAGGGCGGGGCGGGGCGGGGCGGGGCGGGGCGGGGCGGCCTGCAGCACACACCTTCATCCCGGCGAGGACACACAGGTCGCTGTCACCTTGTTCCCAGCGAAAGAAAGTGCGCAATCTACAGAAACCCATTTGGAGGACTGGGCGTTCTTCTTCTTCTTCTTCTTCTTCTTCTTCTTCTTCTTCTTCTTCTTCTTCTTCTTCTTCTTCTTCTTCTTCTTCTTCTTAGGAACAGGATGGCAACAAGCATTTGGGCGTAGGTGGGCTTGGGGCGAGGCAAAGAATAACTTTTTGTTGGAACTCGGTCAAATGTACCCTCTAAACACAACAACAACAACAACAACAACAACAACACAAGGACCACGACAGCTGTGTTAACAGAACAATAACACAACAACCACAACAGCTGTGTTAACAGAACAATAACACAACAACCAGAACACAATAACAACACAACAGGAATAAAAACCACAACAACAACGCGAGGTGTTTAAAAACATCACCTGTCCGCGACGGCCCGAAAAAATACTGTGCCGAAAGCGTCGGACTGCAGCGCGGGAAAAAAACCATTTCTCCACCGGCGACGGTAACTCCGCGGGCAGGAGAAGTGACACGAATGTAGGAGGGAGGAGGGAGGGGTGACAGGGCAGGGGGTCCTCGCGGCGCGTAGCGGCGCACCGTCCCCACCTCGGTCCCCACGGCCTTCTCCACGCTCCATCTATCCGGGACGATTTCTGGAAACGCCAGCGCGGCCGAAATGTGTCGCACCTTGTCGGCGGCCGTCAACAGGGCGGGCGTGGCGGGGCGGGGCGGGATCAAGGAGGAGGCGGCGGCGCGCTAAAAAAAAGTTTCTCTATCCGCGCGTTTGTTGCTCTGTGTGGTATGTCGGTTATTTTGCGCGCCGTCGGTCCGCGCACATGGGAGCGGTAACGGCCGCCGCGACAACAAACACTCATGAAGCTATGGATGCGTGCGGGGGGGGGGGGGAGAGAGAGAGAGAGGGAGGGAGGGAGGGAGGAAGGGAGAAAGTAGGGGGTGGAGAAGGGGCAGGAGGGGAGGATGTTGCACCCGGGCCCCAAGGTAGCCCTGGAGCGTCACTACAGTCTGCGTTTCGTGCCACTCGGCAATTCAATCCGTCACCACGGCGCTACGCTGCTACGCCACGGCCCCGGGGTTCCTGCCCCTCCCCCGCCTCCTCCGCTTGCTCCGTTCTGCAGGGAAGGCCAGGCCCAGCGGCGGCGGCTCTGCGAAGGGTCACCTTTCCGCGCTTGCTCTCTTCCGCCCACGCTCGTGCCCACGCTTCATCCCGCCCCCTTTGTGTCGTCCTCTCTCTCTCTCTCTCTCTCTCTCTCTCTCTCTCTCTCTCTCTCTCTCTCTCTCTCTCTCTCCAGCGATCTTTGTCCTTTGCTCTCATCGCCACACAGAGCCAGAGAGACGCACGCCCAGTTGCAGTCGCCGCGCCGCCGCCCCCCACCCCTACCCCCTCCCCCTCCCCCTGGCCGCTGGCGCGCTGCCGTTGCCATGACGACGAGTCGCTGTGGCGCTGCGCTCGCCCGCTACGCTCGCTACGCCCCGCTCCGGCCGCCCGGCCCGCCCGGCCCGCCCCGACACAGCGCCACGGCCAGCGCGCCAGCGGCACAGCGGCAGTTGAGTTCGCAGCTCGCCGCCGTCTGCAGCGCCCCCGTCCGCGCCGCTCCGCGCCACTCGCCGACGACGCGTCTAGCAGACGACGAGGTGTTTACCAGACGACGCAAGCCGCGTCGCTCCCCGCGCTCTCTCCGCGCTCTCTCCGCGGCCCAGCCCAGGGCTCAGCCCTCGCCGGGGGCTCGGTGTTCGGACAGTGCTCTTTCTCTCTCTCTCTCTCACTCATCGGCGACGCGGGACTTCCAGGACGTCGCGAGGGGACTTGTCCTCGAGTTCGCAGCAGGCCGTTCGCAGTTGCTCGCCCAGCCCGCCGCGCGCCGCGCTGCCCCTCTGGTGAGTGGACCACAACTTTCCGCCGCCCTACAGTGTAGGCGCGGACCGTGTGAACGGCGAAACGGTGGAACGACCGCGCTCCGGTCCCCAGTGCCGACAACCCGCTGTAAAATAATTTTAGCTCCTCTGTGGCTTGTCAAGCAAGTACCGTGCTCGCGGATTCGGTGTCACACAGTGGGCCAGAAGACTGGCGGAGGCGGCCCGAAACTCTAGACGCGTTTTGAACCCCCGAGTCGCTAAACAGGACCCGAACCGAACGTGTGACCCCATCAATGGATTGCTCTCCGGACGAGGAATCCATTGGTGGGGTCACACGTTCGGTTCGCGTCCTGTTTAGCGACCCTCGAGCTCAAAACGCGTCGAGCGTTTTGGCCGCCTGCGCCGGTCCACTGGCCCACTGTGTGTCGCCGTGGTGCGTGAGCGTGTCCGTCCGCGGGTCGGGTTTACCGCGCCGCTACACCACAAGCTCGTATAAAAAGCCACCCTTCCCCGAAAATGTGGCTTTTATTGTGGCGCTGTGCGCGCTGGGCGCGCTGGGCTGGGCGCGCGAAGGCGGCGAAGGCGGACACGAATCAGCTGATGCGGTCGTGTGCCGCCCGGGCCGGCCTGGGCCGCGGCATGCCGAGGGACAAAGCCCTATTCAGTTTGGCTGGCAGATAGTCTCGGACCGCGGCGGACGCGGCGGCGGACGGGGCGGCCGACAGGCCGAGGCCGCAGCAGACGGATTCCGAGCGGCGCTCTGTCTCTCTCGCACTCGGCGCGTCCCCGTGGTGCCCGGTGGCGGCGAGAGAGACAGAGCGACGAAAACGACGCCCGGAATCAGTCTGCTGAACAATCAGCGCGGGGCTTTTCAGCGGCCGCCCCTCGGACCGCGGTGCGGTGCGGCGCGGCGCGGCGCGGACCTTCACGGTGACTGGACGCGGAGAATGGTCGGTGTGTCTGCATCAATTCCGGGGCACTGATAATGACGCCAAGAGGGAAAAGGGCGCCGAAAAAGCAGCCGATTGGCCCGGAGGGCTGAAGGGCCGCAGACTGAGAGACTCACAGTGGGCCAGAAGACCGACGGAGGCGGTCAAAATCCCGGACCCGTTTTTGAGCTCCAGAGTCGCTAAGCAGAAGTCGAACCGAACGTGTGACCCCACCAATGGATTGCTCTGCGCACGAGGAATCCATTGGTGGGGTCACACGTTCCGTTCGAGTCCCATTTCGCGACTCTGGAGCTCAAAACGCGTCCGGGATTTTGACCGCCTCCATCGGTTTTCGTCACTCTGTCCCTCTCGCTCCCGCCAAGGATGCCCCCTAAGTGCGAGAGAGACAGAGCGACGACTCTCAGTGTGCTGACTGGCTGACCGCGACGCGCCAAGCCCTGCGCCGCCCTGCGCCGCCTGCTCGTCCTGTCTGGTCCGCGCGGCCCGTCCCAGACCCCTGTCGGCCTCGCCTGGGCCGCCCGTCTCGCAACGCAAATTTGCCACACTGCTAGGAGCAGGGCGCAGGGCCTGTCTCCACGCCCCGCCGCCAGAGCGCGCACCGCACGCCGTTTCCTGCGCGACCTGGCCCACTGTGAAACTCTCAGTCTGCATCACAAAAAAAAAAAAACGCTCGCTCAATAAACACTAAATTTAAAAAAATGTACATTTTTTGTGCCAACAGTTGTGATAAATTACGGAAGTTTAATCGAGTCAAGATCGGTTCGAAATCAAGGCTGTCTTTGGGCCGCTGCTCGGGACCGTCGTTCGCCTCCGACGCCTTCCTCGCCAAACTTGTCTCCAAAAGGAGACGGAATGGAGTTGCTCCACGGGGGGCGGGGCGTGGCGTGGCGGGGCGGGGCGGCAGCTGGGAGAAGGCTCACGCAGTCACAGCCATCATTACGGCAACGCATATTTCGAACGCGACATCGCTGACAGTTTCCTCTGCGTTCGGCTGATTCGACTACATTTTTGTCGTGCGATAGCGTGTCGATTGGACTCTGTGTCAAACCAGCCGAACTATAGAGACAGTTTTCACCCCCAAACAAGACTGACTCCCTTTTCTTGGCTGTACTTTTGCGCGCAGCAGAGCCCCTTCCGAGCGGGCGCTGCGCTCGGCCGTTCGACTCTGGCTAGCCGCTGGCTGTGTCTCTGTCTCTCTCGCACTCGTGGGGCGCGCCGTGTCGGTGCGAGAGAGACAGAGAGAGAGAGAGCTTGGGACGCCAAGGTCCTCGGGGCAGTAAAGCGCTAAGCGGGAGCACTTGGGCGCTGTTCGTCTCGGCTCTGCGTGCCGTGCCGTGCCTTGGCCGGGGTCACTGGACACTGCCCAGTCCGCTGGGCGCCGCGAGGAGGACTGGACCGGGTTGTGTTTATTATGATGAGGAACAAAAACAGACTGTACTCGGCTTTTTCCTTCTCTCTCTGGGGGGCGGTATGCCGCACGTGCGCTCTCTCTCTCTCTCTCTCTCTCTCTCTCTCTCTCTCTCTCTCTCTCTCTCTCTCTCTCTCTTTGGTTGGGTTGGGTCAGCGCCGCCTGCTCCATCTTCTTTCCGTATTGTTTTTCATCCAGTTATATGACTCTACTTGATTCCAATAAAAGGGATGGGAGACGGAGGAGCGGCAACAGCGCGGCCGTGGGGAAGGATTCGAGTCTTTCAATTTTGCTGCCCTCTTCCTCTCCCTCTCCCTGTCCCTCTCCTTCTCCCTTTCTCCCGCTCTCTCTCGCTCTCTCGCGGGGGTGCTGCACCAACCGAGTCGTTTCCGTCCATTCTCAGCTGTCTGTCTGTCTGTCGACCTTGAGGCTGGAGGTCTTCACGCGCTTCTTGCTATATTCAGTCGCTCCGCAAATTTTCGTTTTTGTTGTTTTTTTTGTTCCGTGTCATTGAAGATTTCTCTGGTCGGGGGAAAGAAAGCCTCGCTGTTCAATATAAACATGGGCGTCACCCACCGGGCTGACCGGCCGTGCGATCCGCGCGTACACTGTGGCGTACGCCCCACTTGTTGGTCCCTTCTTTGTGCACCGACTTCTTTTCACCGCGTTGCCGAGCTGCGGACTGCACTGTGATAAAACCACGCGGCCGTGTGTGTGTGTGTGTGTGTGTGTAAATTTGAGTGTATGTGTAAGTGTAGGTGTGTGTGTGGGCTGCAAAATGTAGTAGTCTGTGTGTGTAGTTGAGTGTGTGTGTTGGGGTGAGGGTGAGGGTCTGGCGGAGAGAGAGAGAGAGAGAGAGAGCGGTGGCGGGGTTGTGTTCGCGATTGCACACAGGTCGTAAACACGGGCCGGTGCCTCCCGAAATGTATCGGGCCATAACGGCGTGGCTGCTGCGCTGTCACACACCGTGGTTTTTTTTCTGGCATGCGGTAGGAGGGGCCGTCCGCCCGTCGCGTTTGGCGTCCTGATTGGTCGCGAAGATGAATTGAGAAGGTGGCTGCGTTTGCGCGATGCGTGACTCTTGGCGTGACCGTCGGAGTAGGTGCCGATTTGTAGGCTTCGCCCAGGCATGGCGGCGCGTGGCACCTTGCCCAACAGTCAAATTGGGCGCCGTCGTCAAATCGGGCCGAGCCGAACGCAGCCGAGCCGAGCGCAGCCGAGCCCAGTCAAATAGGGCCGAGCCGAGCCGAGCGCGCGGCCGAGCGCAGCCGAGCCGAGTCAAATGGAGCCGAGCGCAGCCGAGCCGAGCGCAGCCGAGCCACGTCAAATGGGGCCGAGCCGGGCGCCCCACCTACGCCGCCTTCGCCTTCCTCCACTTCGGACTGTGTAAACAAATCACCAAACTTAGGGCCGCGCTGCAGGGCGCCGGGGCGGGGCGGGGGCCACTCGCCAAGTTGGGTGCGTGTGTGTATTGTTCGCAGCCTGGTGCGAGGTGCCACATTCCCATACAAAACACCAGCAAATCCCATCCCGGTCGAGTGTGGCGCTGCGGCGCGCTGCGGCGCCGTTCGCCGGTAAAGCCAGACGCTACTCGCGCCGCGCTCCACTCCGTGCGCCCCATCTCCATCATGCGGCCGCCGACCTGTCTTTGCTGCAGGCTGTCTCTCGCGTCACGCCCCACGAGTGCGAGAGAGACAGCGGCAACGACTGGCTGGCTGACTGGCATCCTCAGTTCTGGTCTAGCCTGTAGTGGTAATGGTAATGGAGGCAGGCAACACGTTCTCCAGCGCGCGCGGCGGGCTGGCCTACCCTCTCCACCGCAGGCGCGCTCCAGCTGGGTCCAGCGCTAGCGACTAGTTCGAAACAATCGACGGACTTTTTTGTGTGTTTTTTTTTTTCGAACTACTGCCCCGGCTGATGAAGCGGGCCGTCCCTGGGGTGGCGTACAGGGTCGCCCGGCCGGCAGCACAGCGCGCAGCACGGCCTGGAGTCCAGGCCCTGGACGGCCGGCACGGCCAGCACGGCGTGCGTGGTGACCCAGGGCCGCGGAAACACGGTGCAGCAGATCGATGGCAAGCCATTACCAGTCCGCGGACAGTGCTTCGTCGCTCTGTCTCTCTCGCACTCATGGGGCGTCGCGCATAGGTGCGACAGAGACGGAGCGGTGAAGCTGGTTCTCCAGCCTGCAGGCGTGGATTGCAAGAAAGCCCCGTCCTCGTTCGGAGAGCAATCCATTGGTGGGGCCACACGCGCCGTTCGTGCCGTCCCATTTAACCATTCTGATGCTCAAGACGCGTCTAAAATTTTGGCCGCCTGCGCCGGTTTTCTGGCCCGCTGTGCTGTCTGTCTCTCCCGCACCCAAACGGGACGCCCCATGAGCGCGAGAGGGACAGAGCTACGAAAACGACTCTCAGTCCTCAGGGCGCGGCAAGGAGGTCAGAGCCCTGCTGTCACGACCAATTAATTCCGGCAAATTTTCATCAGGACGGCCCAAGGAGAGGCGAAATCCAATTCTCGCCTGCACACGAATCGAGTGGCGATACGCTAATACCAGTCCGTCCTGCGTTTGACGCGCCGAAAAGGGAAAGGGGGGAGGGGGTAGGAGGTGGGAAAAGGGACGGTGGTGGTGACGGGAGAGGATGACAGGAGGGGAAGGAGGGGAA